AAGCCGGCGACTGATCTGCCTCGCCAAAGAAGAGCGCAATGATGGTGCCAACTTGGGCCAGTGAAGCAATATCCTCCACAACTAGACTGAAGAACAAAAAACGACAGCAACTTGTCTGTTCCCCTTCCCCCAATTCCCCAGCACTGTTCCCATCCCAATTCCCCAATAAAAAACAAACAAAAAACTATTTCTATTTACCAAAAAAAAAATGCTGCCATAGGTAATCACAATAAGCCCATGTGCCAAGTTCTCCAATACTTCACGGTTCTTCTGAGATGCCAACTTTCTGTAAACTATGTAGAGGACTGCAGTAGTAGTCATCTAGATCAGGGGTCGGCAAACTGCAGCTCGCGAGCCACATGTGGCTCTTTGGGTACGTTCTGTCTCAAAAGTTTGTCGACCCCTGGAAGAGCCAATCCCATCCCTCACAACAATTTAAAAATTATTCGAGAGCCATAAATATATTTTTACATAATAACCATTATGTGAATAATATCCTTTAAAAATTTTATAAATGAAACTATGATACTTTTATTTTCATTTTCAATTTTACTTCAGAGCCACATATAGATACCCAAACAGCTGCATGTGGCTCGCGAGCCGCAGTTTGCCGACCCCTGATCTAGGTCCAGAACTACAGTCAATACTAAATCACTCATTCTTTTTTTAAAGATCAACTTTTATTTCCAATTATATATATAGTAGTCCCCCATTATTGGTGGTTTCGCTTTCTGCAGTTTCAGTTACCCGCAATCGACCATGGTCAGAAAGTATTAAATGGAAAATTCCAGAAATAAATAATTCATAAGTTTTAAATTGCACACCATTCTGAGTAGCATGATGAACTCTGTCATCCCGCTCCATCCCATCCTGGAAGTGAATCATCCCTTTGTCCAGCGTGTTCATGCTTAGATGCTACCTGCCCACTTAGTGGCTATCCAGGTTATCAGCTAGACTGTCCTGATATCACAGTGCTTGTGTCCAAGTCACTCTTATTTTACTTAATAATGGCCCCAAAGCACAAAAGTAGTGATGCTGGCAATTAGGATACGTCAAAGAGAAGCTGTAAAGTGCTTCCTATAAGGGAAAAAGTGAGTACAGTACAATAAGCTATTCTGAGAGAGACAGAGAGACCATATTTACAAAACTTTTATTAAGGTATATTGTTATAATTGTTCTACTTTATTTTTTAGTTATTGTTGTTAATCTCTTACTGTGCCTAATTTATAAATTAAACTTTATTGGGCGGGCCGAGTGGCTCAGTTGGTTAAGAGCTCACTCAAGAGTTTGAGCTCTGAGCAACAGCGGTTCGATGCCCGGCCCTAGCTGAGTTGCCGCTGAGCTGCCAACAGGTGGCAGGATGGCTCAGCTAAAAATAAATAAATAAATAAAAATGAAACTTTATCATGGGTATGTATGTATAGGAAAAAACATAGTGCATATAGGGTTCAGTACTATCTTCACTTTCGGGCCTCCAGTGGGGGTCTTGGACCGTGTCCCTCAAGGACAAGGAAGGAATACTATACAACCATTTTCATTATTCACAGTAGTTATGTTTCATGAAGTCACCAAGAACACTAAATTAGTGGATACTGACCATTGCTCCTAGGGGAAACAGGGGTTTAGGTTTCTGAGAGCCTCTGGTCACTCCAAACCACCCACTTTTTCTCTCTGTTCTTCACATTAGATAATTTCTATTGCTCTATCTTCAAATTCTTTTATTCTTTCCTTGGTCATCTCCATCCTACTTTTAATTCCATTCAGTGATTTTTAAAAAAAATCCAAGATATTGTAGTTTTCAGTTCTAGAACTTCTATTTAGCTCTTTTTTACTCTTTTTTTAGCTCTTTATTTCTTTGCTGAGATTTCCTATCTTTTTATTAATTGCAGGCATATTTTTCTTTTACTTCATTGAGGATAATTACAATAGCTGATCTAAAATCCTTGCCTGATAATTCCAACATCAGGATCATTTTGGAGTTGGTCTCAGTTGATTTTCTTTTCTATTGAGAATATATGTTCCCTTTTGCTGGTTTTTCATACATTGAGTTATTTTGGATCATATCCTGGACATTATGAATGTTAAATTATGGAGACTCTGGATTCTGTTGTCTTCCAGTTGTTCCTTCCTTCCTTCCTTCCTTCCTTCCTTCCTTCCTTCCTTCCTTCCCTCCCTCCCTCCTTTCTCTCTCTTTTAAAGCAGGCAATTATCTTGCTTGGTTCAAGGGTCAGCCAGAGATGTAGGCAGACAGAGTCTGGGAATCCTCTCTCTGGATCTTTCTGGGATTCACCCTCTCTCTCTCCTGCAGCTGTAGCTTCCCCAGATTCAATCTTCTGGTCTCACAGTGCAGAAAGATGATGACTTCGCCACCAAGGCCCCTTATGTACTGCATTCTTCGCCAAATAGACTTGTCCCTAAGCTAAAAGCCAGGAAAATGGGCACCTCCTTTGTACTGCGCCTCTCCTCTAAGCATGGACTCCCCATAAGAACCTGCCAGCTGTGACCACACTCCAGTGCATCCAGGTGGCTGCTTACTATGTTACAGAGTTTTTAGTGGTTATCTGAAGGAGGGCCAGTCTGCTCGGCTACTGCTCAGCCATTACTGTCCTAATTATTCATTATTGTCTTTGGGATGAATTTATGAATATGGATGCTCTAAACATCTGCAATACTCAAAATAAACAAATCACCTTGCAAAGACTTAATGTGGAAAGAGCTGGATAGTTAGGCACAATTTTCTCATTCTGTTGCTCAGCTCATCTTCTCCACGTAGAGGAGGGCTGTTCTTAACTCTGAGGCCAAGAGAAGATACAGGTCTAAACATAGCTCCTCTCCTGGGTATGCCAGGACCTTTTGGCAAGGGTATGTTAGAATGGGCTTCAAGTGGGGTCTTTCTGGCTCCTCCTAGGCTTCAGGCTATACTGGGGATGAGTTAAGAAACAGATGGTCATAAGGCCAAAACAAGGCTAAGCAGAGAAAATAAGTTTTTCAATAAGAAAGGGAATGCAGTATTTCCCTCTAACATGAATATCATGCTGACTGCACAAAATTCTGGCTACTTTCAAATGGGAGGGAGGTAAAAGCTACCTCATGATTTGGGGGTGGTGATGTCTTCCCTCTCTGATCCCAATCTATCACCTGATCTTCTGAACCTCTGCTTCTTACTGGACTCGCTGCCTCCTTTTTAAGCTGCCAGAACCACAGAGGTCCTTGGCTGACACATCTATGAGTAACAGAGAATTCATTGAAACCCAGGATTATCTTTTGGCACTCTACAGCTTGAGAGATAGTGATTAGAAGGAAAAAAAACACACCAAACTTCATTAACAAAGTGGCATTTTCATTTCAGCTGTTCCTGGGGGCAAAACAGAGCAGAAATCCAAGATTGAAAGCTTTGTGGTTATCTCCGCTTTTCATTACAGTGCCCCTGTTTATAATCACACCCACGATTACAAGATTTAACACACCTGGTCTCAAGGATGCCCTAGGAAGAGGCATCACACGTTCATCCCATCCCATTTCCTTTTTATTCACTGAGTAAGCACAATTGATAAATTTCAGTGAGTGCAGACTAGAGTTGGTTTAGAGAATAGGAGAGAGGTTTTTCATTCACATGGCTTTTTGAAAGTGACGAAAATCTTCCATGGCCACAAATTATTTTAGTACTGGTGAGACTAGCAGTGTTGCTTTCATTGACTACATGTGGTTATGGGAAATCTGGATAGAATTTCTATTTCTTCTCTCACTTTACTAACCAGACATTTTGTTTGTTCTCTCTCTCTCTCTCTCTCTCATCTTCCTCTCTCCCCCTCCCTCCTCTCTCTCTCTCACTCAGAGTGCTGCACTTACATTTTTTGTAGATTTAGTTTCATAGTGTTGTAACTCATATTTTAAATACAGCTTTATTTTGAAATAATTTTAGATTTACAGATAAGTTGCAAAGACAACATAGAAAATTCCTGCATACCCCTCACCCAGTTTCCCCTATTATATATTTGTTAAGAGTTTTGTAGCTCTTGACAGTGGATGAAAAACACTCACCCTTTCTGAACTCCCTCTTGTATAGCATATTCTCAACAAGAACAGTGTGTACACCATAGCAATTTATTTAATTACCTGAATTACTGAGTTATGATCTGCACATCCCCCACTCCCATCAAGGTCCTAGATAATAACCAGGGGATAAATGAGTCCATGCTTGTACAAAGATGGTATAAGGAACTTGATATGGCAAATTCTAGCACGAATAAAGCCTGTGTGTCTGACAAAACAATTACTCTTCTAATGGCTTCACTGACACTTATTAAATACTGATACGCCAGCCGCAGAGGAGCACTGTGGATGCCAGGCAGTGAATTATTAATGCAAACCCTCTATAAAGTCAACTGGGAACGAGTGTCCATTAAGATCAAGAAGAAAATTAATTTAGAGGTCACTCATTCTTAGCTCACATATGGATATGAATACTTTCTTCCTGTATTGGCCATCCATTGGGGGAAAATCCAGCTAAACCCACTTAGAAGAGGAAGAAAGTTTAACTTATGCAGCAACTAAAATCTTACGGATTGAACTTCTCGTTAGAAAGGAAACATTTTAAATGAGGCCCTTTAATAATTCAATATGAACTGTTATGAATCAGAGTAGACAAGTCACCAAAGCTCAGGCTACAGAGGCAGGCTTAGTGTGTTCTAGTGGGCTCACCTTGGAACCCGTCCCTCTGAGAAGAACACCAGGACTCAGAGTTCCAATCTATAAATTTAGGCTCTGGTTTTTCTGCAGCAGTTAGTGTGTGGTTTGCCTACTATCTTACAGAGGAAACAGAGACGCTTACTAAGATGCAAACAATTCAATTTTCCGGCTACAAAATTCCTACTTATCGATCCATCATCGTGAGTCCACCCAGGGAAAAGGTTTCAGGCCTGCCCTGGTGAAAGGAAGACTGATACACAGACAAAAACCTCAGAGGCAGGGAAGTTGCAAGTGGTAAGAGATTGACTTACCTCTGTAGCTTTCTGGCTGAGCCCCCGAAGCAGCAGCACAATCACATGGATGGCAGCTCTGCGCACTTGAACTTCATGGTCTGTTTTAGCCACAGCAATCAGGCACGTTGTTACCTAGGAGAGTGAGGAAGAAGTCAATAAAAATCAGGATTGCACAATTACATAAAGCCTTTCAACTGTGTGCCACTTTCTATATGTTCATCAAGAACAATCTGGCTTAGAGGGGGGTGAACAGTTTCCTCATTCTCAATAAAGAGGGAGAGGTCTAGTGGTAGAGATCTTGATTTAGTCTGGCTTTTCTGGTAAAGGACAAAATCTGGTTTGGAATTCAGGAGGAAGATGAGGGAGTGAGAGGAGATACATGGATACAGTCATGTGCCTTTAACAACAGAAATGTGTTCTGAGAAATGCATCATAAGGCAATTTCGTCATCGTGTGCACATCATAAAATGTACTTCCACAAAACTAGACAGTGTAGCCTACTCCACACCTGGGCTACGTGGTGTATCACCATCTTCTATTTGGTTCATTGTTGTTTTTTGTTTGTTTGTTTGTTTTTTAAGATTTTATTGGGAAATTAGGGAAGGGGAACAGCATTGGGGAATCGGGGAAGCAGAACAGACAAGTTGCTGTCCTTTTGTTGTTCAGTCTAGTTGTGGAGGACGTCGCTTCACTGGTCCATGTTTGTATTATCATTGCGCTCTTCCTGGGTGAGGTAGATCGGTCACCGGCTCACAGAGGCTCTTGGCAGCTCACGCTGGCCGGTGGCCACTCACGTTGGCCACCAGCCACTCACAGTAGCTTATGGCAGCCCACTGCAGCTTCACTGCAGCCTACACCATCGCCAGCAACTCAAGGAAGCCCAGCTCCAGGTTGAGCTGTTGTTCACCATCTTAGATGTAGAGGGCGCAGCATCACTGGCCCTAATATGGGATCCGAACTGCAGCCCTGCTGCTCAGAGCTGGTGTCCCAAGCCAGCTCTTAACCAATGCGCCACTCGGCCGGCCCTATTTGGTTCATTGTTGACTAAAACATCGTTTATGCAGCCCTTAACTGTATAATGAAGGTATGGTCAAATGCAAATATTTCCTCAAAAGAGGGGAGATCTGTTACTTGTCCGCCTTCGGGGACATCAAATCAAAGGAAGAAAAGATGGTCCAAAACACAGTGGCATGCAGGATGGGAGACTGTGGAGGTTTAGCTAAGCAGGCTTCAGAGTTCAAGGCCCAGCATGAATATGAATGTGCTACCAATGAAAGTTTCTGCTCAGAGACAGAGAAATACATAAATATTCAAACTGATCTTCTTCAGCATGTCCAGACTTCCCAGTCCCACAAATCCAGCTTATACCCCATGTGAGTCACCAGGGGGCATTTTCAGAGACTCCCTGCCTGGGCTTCTTCATTTGGGAATAGGTTTTCCAGTGCTCATTTACATCGAAAGATGGCTCTATAACATAAAAGACTGGAAATGACTTGCAAAACATGGTACCAGATATATAGCTAATTATTATATGTCATAAAACGAGTTTCAATACCCTGTACCAGCTACACTGCTGTCCCCACCTGGCTCCCGGTAGGCACAAAAATATTCTAAAACCTCCATGAAGAGAGACACCACTAAAAACAGCAGCAACAAAACTTTCTGAGGCATTCGTGCAAGATTTAAAAGAAAAAACAAAAATTTTGAAAGTGTAACCAATAGCAGCAATATCAGAAGGTAAGTCTAGATTATTCAATTGGTCTCTTATATACTATGTTATCTGATTTGCTATAGGAGTGTTTTTCTTGGCCAACCGTGGAGGGATTTCTAACCACAATAATAAAATTGCCAGATTGTGTGTTTGGAAACACATATAAATACATACTATGCTTAAAGAATGGTTTTTAAAAAGGTTTAAAAAAATACAGGCACAAATGAGGACATAGGCTTGTGCAGAAATTTTAACTATGCAGGTTGTATTTTTCACAGCTTTCAAACAGTTGGGCATAGTTCAAAGTGTCTAATTAATCAGTGATGGCAGAGAGATGAGAAGAAGTAGCTTGTTCTTAAACGTAATTACATCTGTGATATACTGGCATTTAATCAAGCTGTACATCAATTCAATAAATTTGCAGCTAACAAGTAAAGGGAAATCTCAGAAAAGCTCAACTCTTTGGGGACTGTTTTTCAATAAGACCCAGCAAGCTGCTTCTGCTTTTGACCTGGGACACACTGACCCAAGGCCATCAGCAGCTTCCATGCCTCTGGCATTAACAGGGGAAGTAATTCCTTGGGCGACCTCCAAACAGGCAACAATATAATAGCTACCTCCACTTCCAGGCTTAGTATTTACAAGGTAAGAGCTGGAATCAGAGAAACAAGTTAGAGCTAGGTCTGAGTCCTCCTTGACACATGAAAGTTTAGCTTACTCAGTCTGATAACTGAAGTGTGAAAGTCAGCACAGGGCCATGTAATGTGCAGAGGCTCCCACGCCTTTTTGCCTGCTTCCCTCTGGGTTTAGTTTGGGGCCCCTGTTTCCACATTTGGCAGACCAGGGCTTCCTGGCCTAGAACCCTGCTGGCATCCAGCTTTGCCACCTCTGTTCTCCTTCACCATGCTAAGCGGACCATGCTTCTGCCTCAGCTCTTAGGGTAAGACCTGCTCTAACTTTCAGACATTTATTCCATAATAGGGCAAGGCAGAGGCATCCTGGCTGGAAAAGGGCTTCCCCTGCAAGGCTCGTTCTTGAATCCCTGTGCGGCCTGGAAGGTGTGACTAGAGAAGGGCTGGTTATTACAAGTCTTGCTGAGATCAGCTGGAATGGTTTCCTGCTTGCTACAGGCTGTGAGTGATTTCTGCACCAGACGATACCAAGACCATCTGCCATCACCCATCCAGGACGATCAGGAAGGGTCCTATGAACAGAGAAATGTTCATGAACCTTCCTCAATACTTCTACCACAAAAACCAAGTCCTGTGACATGTATAATGGTTGGTTATACAAACTCTTTTAAAAGCATCAGAATTTTAATAGGATCTTACAGATATCTAGAGGTAAGAATAGCCTTCTTTTCAGGTCAAGCTCCCACAACCAACTTGTAATGTTGATACTCTTCTGCAAGTCGGTGGGATAGACCCTTCGTCAAAAACTCAAAGTAGGGAGGATGCATGGCCACTCTCACCTGTCCAGTCGGAACAAGTCACTCCCATGGCTAGTCTCTCTCACCTCCAGCTCCAAGGACATACTCAAATCGTCTTCCACCCCCTAAAAGCCTTGGCAAATCGACCGATAAATGATGTAAGATATTTACTAATTTATGAATTGGTATAATATTTCTATTCTGTTTTTAAGTCCTCCCAGAGGGCAGAAACCCATTCTATGTGATCTTCATGTGGCCTGCCCTAAGGGTCAATGTAGTTACTTTAATAAACCATCCTATGTAAGGCTTTTTCTTCAGTGGCTACATTATGTAAATCATATCCACTTCTGAAAGCCACACAGAGAGAAAGATGATGATTGCTTTGGAAACACTAAAGGCCACTTTAAGCAATTTAACACTAGATAGGAGCCAACAGAAGTAAGGAAAAACATCACTCCTCAAACAGCTGGCACACACCAAGTATAATCAGAACTATGTAAATAAAGATAACACAAATGGCAAGATTACAAAAAAAACAAACACAAAAACAAGAAAACTCTTGGAAAATTCCAGAAGAGAGGTACCAGAATTGAGATATGTATCACGAATGCATGATTTCAATTTTCCAACGTAAGCTAACTTGTCTGAAACTAGACCACCTGGCCTTCTAGTTTGTAAACTAAGAAACCTTAGCAACAAAGGCACGTGGCCTCTACTTCATACATGCTCAGCTTGCTCATTTCACCTGCCATGAAAGAGAACCATGGTGGCTACCTTAGCCTCCTCGAGGACATCCACCTAAGTCCTCATCTCGCGGTCTATGCACCCCCAAACTGCACACGTCCTGTCACATAGAAAACTTCACTGATTGTGGAAAACTGGTAATTCAGATCAGTCACTGGGATCAGAGGTGATAGTTTTGCATCAGATCTCCAAGTTCAGGTTTGTGAGCACCATGTTAAAAGTGGACTTGTCGGCCTTGATGCCCCGCTGTCTGGCCCCGCGGATTCACGACCCACCGACCCACAACCGACTAATCGGCCAGGCTCTCTCATGTGCCATGTCTGGTTCCTCTAGCGTCACCGCTATGAAGAAAGTGGTTCAACAGCTCCGGCTAGAAGCCGGGCTCAACCGCGTGAAGGTTTCCCAGGCAGCTGCAGATTTGAAACAATTCTGTCTGCAGAATGCTCTACATGACCCCCTGCTGACTGGAGTATCTTCAAGTACAAATCCCTTCATATCCCAGAAAGTCTGCTCCTTTTTGTAGTGAAACTAAATCTTTGGAGGTTTCTAAACCGCTTTTCATGAACCAGTGAATATTCAAAGGAGAACTAAATCGGATGCCTGTACAAAAAGCGTATCTCTATAACATGTGCCATACTATATACAAACTTCTGCTTTTGTCAGTCCTTAACATCTATCTCTCTGAATTTTCATGAATTTCTATTTCATAAGGGAAATTATTTTATATACACTGGTAGCAGTATACAATAAAATACTTAGTATTAAAAAAAAAAGTGGGCTTGTCACGTGGGGCATATCTTATTTGCTGCACTGAGGATGAGCCTCTTATTGTGGCTCACTTAAATCAAACTTACCTCTCAGAAAGAGCGATAAAGATGAAAGAGCTTATCAAGATTTGGTTTCAAGCAACACAGCTCTTGAGAAGGAGAAATTGGGGAAAATAATAATGCTCTCCAAACAGGTTAAATCTTGACATCAACAGAGAGGAAAAACCTGAATTCTCAGTACAGAGAATGTAGAAGAGCTGATCCTATCCCTTATGTTCCTTCCCTGCCAGCCAGCCCTGTCACAGCACAGATCTGGACCACCCAACAGGTAGGTCAGCGCTCTGCAGATGCCCGAGGGCTGTAGCTATGATCCCCAGATCAGATCATGTGAGAAGAGCCCATGGAGGCTAGTTTGTCCCAGTTTACATCAAAACAGATTACGCTTCTCCCCTTTCTCTGCCCAGCTAACTCGATCAATGGA